CTTCCGATGGCTGGCCGCTGGGCTCCTCATCTTCAAGATCTTGTCTCCTTTGCAGAATTTCTTGAAGCACCACTGCGCTGTATCTTCATAGCAGTTCCTGGGCCAAATGAGTTCTTAATGTTGCAAATTGCCTCTGCTGCTTTATAACCCATTTTGAACTTGAATATCACTCAAATTTGCCTTTTGTTTAACATCATTTCCTAGTCTAAAACAAATACGAAATATATAGCAAGTAATAAGGCATTTCACAACAAACTGTGGAGAATTCTTAAAGAGATGGAAATACCAGACCTCCTGACCTGCCTCCTGAGAAATCTGTATGCAGGTCAAGAAGCAATAGTGAGAACTGGACATGGAACAACAGACTGGTTCCAGATCCGGAAAGAAGGACGTCAAAGCTGTACATTGTCACCCTGCCTGTTTAACTTATATGCAGACTACATCATGCGAAATGCCAGGCTGCATGAAGCACAAGCTGGAATCAAGATTGCTGAGAGAAATATCAATAACCTCAGATATCCAGATATCCACCCTTATGGCAGAAAGCAAAGAAGAACTAAAGAGCCTCTTGATGAAAGTGAAAGAGGAGAGTGGAAAAGTTGGCATAAAGCTCAACATTCAGAAAACTAAGATCATGGCATCTGGTCCTATCACTCCATGGCAAATGAATGGGGAAACAATGGAAATTGTGAGAAACTTCATTTTCTTGGGCTCCGAAATCACTGCAGGTGGTCACTGCAGCCTTGAAATTAAAAGATACTTGCTCCTTGGAAGAAAAGCTATGACCAACCTAGACAGCATATTAAAAAGCGGAGACATTACTTTGCCAACAAAGGTCTGCCTAGTCAAAGCTATGATTTTTCTAATAGTCATGTATAGATGTGAGAGTTGGACCATAAAGAAAGCTGAGCACCGAAGAATTGATGCTTTTGAACTGTGGTGTTGGAGAAGACTCTTGAGAGTCCCTTGGACTACAAGGAGATCCAACTAGTCAATCCTAGAGGAAATCAGTCCTGAATATTCATTGGAAGGACTGATGTTGAAGCTGAAGCTTCAGTACTTTGGCCACCTGATTCGAAGAACTGACTCATTTGAAAAGACACTGATGCTGGGAAAGATTGAAGGTGGGAGGATGAATTGGTTGTATGGCATCACTGACTCGATGGACCTGAGTTTGAGTAAACTCCAGGAGTTGGTGATGGACAGGGGAGCCTGGTGTGCTACAGTCCATGGGTTCACAAAGAGTCGGACACAACTGAGCCACTGAACTGAACTGAATAAGTCATAGCAAAAAACAATAAAGCAAGGAATGCATATTAAAATGATGTATAACATAACCACATTTATTTAGGAATGTTTTACAGTATCAAATGGCAAAATTCAGCAATGCAAAACCATAATTACTTTTGCACCAACCCAATACATACAGTCCATCAGTTCCACTCCTGGGTATTCAAAAAAAGATATATGTACACCTATGTTTATTGCAGCATTGTTTACAATAGCCAAGATATGGAAGCAATCTAAGTACCAATCAATAGATGAATGGATAGGAAGTTGTGATAAATATAGATATGTAAAAAATATATTATATTACTCAGCCATAAAAAAATTAAAAAAAATGAAATCTTGTCATTTCTGAGAACACAGCCAGACTTGGGTGTGTTATGCTAAATGAAACAAGTCAGAGAAAGACAAATACTTTATGATTTTACTTGTATGTGGACTCTAAAAAAATGAAACAAATGAACAAACATAACAAAACAAAAGCAAGCTCACAGATATAGAGAACAGACAGGTGGTTGTCAGAGGAGAGGAGGTTGTGGAGAGGAGAGAAATAGGTGAAGGGGATTAACTCCCAATTGGTACAAACTCCCAATTACTGAATTATTGTCATTGTTCAGTCGCTTGGTAGTGTCCAATTCTTTGTGACCCCAAGGACTGCAGCACGCTAGTCTTCCCTGTCCTTCACCACCTCCCAGAGTGTGCTCAAACTCATGTCCATTGAGCTGGTGAGGCCATCCAACCATCTCATCCTCTGTTGCCCCCTCCTCCTCCTGCCCTCAATCTTTCCCAGCATCAGGGTCTTTTTAATTACAAAAGAAATGAGTCACAGGTATGAAATGTACATTGTGGGGATATATCAAGAATTATAATTTTAATATCTTTGTAAGGTGGCAAATGGCAGCTAGACTTATAATTTTGAAACGTACAGAAGTACTGAATTACTGTGGTGTGTACCAGGAGCTCACACAGTGTTGCAGGTCAGTTATCCTGGAAAACAAACTCATAGAAAAAGAGCTCAGATTTTTGGTTACCAGAGGCAGGGGGTAAAGGAGAGGAAGTGGATAAAAGCAGTCAAAAGGTACAAACTTCCAGTTACAAGATAAGTACTTGAGATGTGATATACAACATGATAAATAAAATGAACACTTGTATACATTATATATGAAAACTGTTAAGAGAGTACGTTCTGAGTTCTTATCACAAGGAATAATATCTTTTTCTGTTCCTTTAATTTTGTATCGGTATGATATGAATGTTCACTAAACTATTATGCTGATCATTTCATGATGTATGTAAGTCAAGTCATTTTTTTGAACATCTTAGACTTATATAGTGCTGTATGTTACCTATATCTCAACAAAACTGGAAGGAAAAAAGGGTATATACTGGAAAGTCTAAAGTAAAAGACAAAAACAACAAATACTTTATGCCTATTGACACTGACATTCACAAGTCGCTCAGTCGCGTCCGACTCCTTGCGATCCTATGGCCTGTAGCCTACCAGGCTCCTCTGTCCATGGGATTTTCCAGGCAAGAATACTGGAGTGGGTTGCCATTTCCTTCTCCAGGGGATCTTCCTGACCCAGGGATCAAACCCAGGTATCCCACATTGTAGGCAGATGCTTTACCGTCTGAGCCACAAGGGAATCCCCTTTATGCGTATAAGAATGGCTAAAAAGAGAATTGATAAATGTGAGGCAAGTGCAAGACCGCTGGGTGTCATCATTAAAAGAAGTCCTTTGAATAACTGGAGGAATATGTGGTAGGCCTGGATATGGTACAGAGGTTTCAGATCTCTCCAGATTAATACAGTTTTGGTCAAAATACAATTGTGATCACCTATAAAATTAAAATAATAGTGGAGGTACTTTCAAAAAAGCAGATGAGTAACGGAGTGAAGGACCTTGGTCTACGAGATACTAAGTGGACTGTCGTACAGTGGCAACTAACGCATCATAAATCAACTATATTCCAATAAAAAATTAATTTAAAAAATAAATCATTGATTAAAATAGTGGCTTCGACGCCACCAGATGAGGGGATTACTGTGGAAAGTCCAGAAAGCAAGCCTAACGTTCATAAAAGCTCAAGTGATGATAGAGAACATTGAAATCCTTGTATTGGAATGGAGGACCAGCCAACTAGAAACAGAAGTTAAGCAATTCCTCATATTTGTATCATAAGGTGAATCCCAAACAGATTAAAGACTTTAAGTGACCAAAAAAAGACTATCAGGAAAATGCAAGAAGTGTCTGCGAGCATACCTGTGATGCTGAAACGGATCACACCTTTCCAGGCAGAGCCTTCTTTTGTTCCTCTGCTGTGCTGTGCTTGGTCGCTTGGTCGCGTCCAACTCTTTGCAACCCCATGACCTGAATGCATAATAATAAAAATTTTCATGACAGCAGATAACCTAACTGGACAAAATTATCCACATTGTGTAAAGAGTACAACAGGTTACCTAGATAATAATGATGGTACCGCTGCTGAGGATAAGAAAAGGGACATACTCAAATTGAGAAAAGGGATAAAATATGTACAGTTTTAATATTCCACATAGTTTTCATCTCAGAGAATATACTCATTTCTTTCTAAATAATCTTGGATGTGGGAAAAGTTTTATTTATAAGGATGTTTACTTCCTCATCCTTTACCAGTGGAAAAGGTTAAATGCAGTTACAATGTCCTACAGCGGGGATTAGGATGATTTCTATGGCTGCCTTAACACATTACCACAAACTGAGTGACTTAAAACAGTGGAAATGTATGGTCTGAAATCAAGGTGTTGGCAGGCCCGTTCCCTCTGACAGCCCTAGGGCAGGCCCTTCTTTATCTCTTCCAGCGTCTGGAAGCCCTAGGCTTGTAGCCATGCCACCCAAATCTCTGTGTCTCCCTCATCACACACCCTTCTTTACGTGACTGCGCTTTGTCTTACAAAGACATCGGCCATTGAACTTGGCCCCACTTCCCTGCAATCCAGCATGACCTCATCTTAACTACATAAGTAACAGCCCTGTTTACAAATAAGGTCATATTCTGAAGTTCCATGTGAATGTGAATTTCTTGGGGGGAAAGTATTCGACCCAGTATAGATGATATAGAAGAATATATAAAGATATAGAGAAAGGTTTACCTTCATTGATTAAAAAAAGGTGATAAACGCATCATGTATATAGATCTAGAAAAGCCTGAAAGGGTATTCAGTAAGTATTACCAGTGACTGTGAATCAGGGAAAGCTTGAATGGTTTTAGTTATGCTAATAAATTTCTGTATTTTCTAAATTTCTTGCAAGGAATATGTGTTTCTTTGATAAGGAAATATAATGAACCTTTCTAGTCTGTTTTCAAAATACAGGTTTAAGAATGATTTCATATTCTTGGTTGCCACAGCTTTTGTCTAATGAGGTAAAAATATCTTAGAGTTTACAGAGTTCAAAGTACATTTTAAAATGTCATTTAAAACAAAGAATATTTCAAAGTTGAATAGTTCCCTATTATACAACAAATTTGTGTTTTTCCAAATTATAGATAATTTGAATTTGTGGGCTTAAAATTCTTATTTTAAGTGTATACTGTCCTTTGTGTTATTGGAATTTCCCTGACTCTATGAAATAGTTTGATTTTTCTCTCTATCTAGACACAGATGTTCTAGATAGCACTGCTGAGATACTTGTAATGAACAATTGCTATGTTGTTTATTGCTGTTTTTCTAGGCAAGGAATTGTTCCTTCAGGTCTCACAGAAAATGAATTATGGAGAGCAAAGTACATCTATGATTCAGCTTTTCATCCTGACACTGGTGAAAAGATGATTTTAATAGGAAGAATGTCAGCTCAAGTTCCAATGAACATGACCATCACAGGTTGTATGATGACATTTTATAGGTAAGTTCTGGCAGTGTAACAACAGTTTGTTTTCTATTCCAGGAGCTTAAAGCACATTTTTGTACTTGAATGGTTTTATTGAAATAAATGTCATTTCATGTGGCATTTCATTTTGTATAAAAGTTACAATCCTAGGAGGTTGTTTTACCTTTTCCTGCTGTTGAATAGAACTCTACTTGCTGCCCAAAAGGAGGTCGAATTTCTCCCTAAGTCTTAGACCCAAAAGAAAATGAGAAAGAAAGTTTAGAAAGCCTCTAAGCAGATTCTCTTTGTAATTGATTCATATAATATAGGTGTAAGTATATATGTAGGTGTAAACACCTAGGCTTATATGTGGAATGAGGAGGGATGAGAAATACTTAGCCTACAAATAGCTCCTTTATGTAAGAGAAGGGACCTGTTGTTAGTCACAGTAAGTGAGTGCCTGCTCTTTGCTGGGCTCCCTTACAAGTTTAAGACAAAACTTAACTTCATCCTCACCTTAACCCAGCAATCCCCATCCTCCAGGATCTAATGCCTGATGATCTGAGGTGGAACTAATGTAATAATAATAGAAATAAAGTGTGCAATGAATGTGGTGAGCTTGAATCATCCCGGAACCATCCCCCACTCCAGTCCGTAGAAGAATTGTCTTCTGTGAAACCGGTCCCCGGTGCCATGAAGGTTAAGGACCACTGCCCTAGCCCTCTTAAGTTTGTTGCTGTCCGTAGTTAATGAATGAGGAAACTGAGAATCAGAGAGGATGAAAGTCTGCGCAGCTCCACTGGGCCTCAGCCTCTGACCCAGAGCATACAGCCCTGGACCCGCAGCCCCCTGCTCCAGTCCGTCGCCTGTCTGGCTCCTGGCCTTTGCGTCGTCTGTTCCGCGTGATGGCCAGATCCCAGGCGGTGGTGGTGTGATGGTCTCTCTATTCCAGGACCACACCAGCGGTGCTTTTCTGGCAGTGGATCAACCAGTCCTTCAATGCCGTGGTCAATTACACCAACAGAAGTGGAGATGCTCCCCTCACTGTCAAGTAAGACTGGAAGGTCTCGCCGGCCTCTGCATTCTTCTGGTGTCCATTTGATCCAGTGGTGTTGCCCTCCTGGTGAAAAAATATATTTGTACTAACTGTGTATGTGGTTCGGAATCGTAGGGAGCCTGTGTCTCAGTAGTGAGTCTTTTCCTCCCTCTCCATCTAGATGACAGTTTGCCGCAGCCTGCCTTCTCAGGCATCACCCGTGCTGTGAGTGGCGCTGAAGGAAGGCAGGGCTCCCGCACCCGAGGGCACATCCCCTTCACCCCAGGAACACACAGCTGGCAGCTCAGGGCAGGCCTTGAGAAATGACCTGCTCTGTACCCCCATCCACCCTGTGGGTTACACAGAGAGCAACATCAGCAGTGGGGGTCTCTGCAGAAATCCAGGGGATTTTATATCCGATTTGTCTTTAAAATAGGATGTCTCTGGAGCCCGAAGAAAGTGAATGGATTTAAAATTTTGCTTCCTGTGAAAAAATGTTCAGGCAAGCTAAAGTGATTAGTTAACCAAAATTTTGAGCCTAACTTATATAACATTTCAAAGAATTTTCGGTTTTGTTTTAACTCTTAAATTGAGTTTGATCACTTATATTCTTCTGTTATCATCCTAGGGAACAAAGAATATTGAAATCTGCAACCCAGCAGTGCTGATCGCACCTTCATTTCATCCAATTCTTGAATTAAAATTTATTTAAAAATAATAGAGAACTGCTTGGGCTTACTTGTATTTTGAGGATAAGACTTTTAGTATCTTTATACAGTAAGATGTCATTTTAAGAATGGCTGCCCTGCATTTTTACTTTCAGTATGTATAGCGATATTTTGAGAAGTATTTTTTATTTAAGTCCATATGCTACAAACATCTAAGCTGACGTGCATTTCTCCACATTTGTAGCTTCGTGCCCAGTCACAGCTTCCTTCCTTCCCCTCCCCCAGACACACATATTGTGCATGTCTACATGTTCGGCATGATAATTCGGTTATGTGTGAAGAATGCTGTTTTTATATGGGTCTGCTTCATTTTTCTATGAATAGCTCTGCTGGCTGAGCTGAATATATCACTGATGAATCTTTTTTAAAATTCATTTTATTGGAATATGCTTGATTTACAGTGTTGTGTTCCTACTGTGCCACAAAGTGATGCGGTTAAAATTGCACATTCTTTTTCGTATTCTTCCCCGTCGTTGTCTGTCACAGGATGTTGAATGTAGTTCCCTGTTCTGTGCAGAAGAACACTGTTGTTTATCTGTTTTATATACAGTGGTTTGCGTCCGCTAAACCCAAACTCCCAGTCCCTCCCTCCCCACCCCTCTTCCGGCTTGGCCTCCGCAAGGCTGTTCTTGAGCCTGTTCCTGTGTCATCAGCAAGTTCATTTGTGTGATGTTTGATGGAATCTCTGTTCTTAATCTTCTTCATTTCTTCCCAAAATGCTGGACTTGGGTTTTCTGACATAACACTCATTGTTTATGTACCATTTTCCTTATTTTCAGTGAACTGGGAACAGCGTACGTTTCTGCAACAACAGGTGCTGTAGCAACAGCTCTAGGACTCAACGCATTAACCAAGGTACTCAGATTTTTGTCTCCGTAGTAAAGCGTCTTAATTTGTTCTCACCTACCTGGCTCTCAGACTCTCTGTTATTTCTCAAAATAGTTCAAGTCTGATGACTTTCTTATTATAGTCATCATCTTCAACTGTTTTTTTTTTTTAATTATATCGTCACTATTAACATTTGCCAAGACACTTGTTTGTACCTGACACTGTGTATTAAGTGCTAAATGCTTCCCCACCACCCACCACCAAGGCTGGGCACTGGGCAGGGTGCCTCAGGCACACCTCTGAAGAGGTGGAGGAGTCAGCATCTAAACCCAAGACTTGGGCATTCAAAACCCCTACTCGCTCAGCCACATGCAGCCACCAAAATATCATGCATGTCCTCCTGGTCCCAGGATGCCCAGGCTGGCAATAGGAAAATAACCTCTAGGAAACAAGTTTTGAGCATACTTATGGCCTGCGTTTCTGTACAAGTAGGACTTTGCATTGGTAATGGTTTTTGAGAAGAAATAAGTATTAATGCAGTACTGTAGAAAAAATGAGATCTTGCTTTTGGAATTATCTTTTCTGCAGCACGTCTCTCCGCTCATAGGACGTTTTGTTCCCTTCGCTGCGGTGGCTGCGGCCAATTGCATTAATATCCCGTTAATGAGGCAAAGGTAAGGTTAATAAGCCCTCCTAGAGAGGGCCTGTAGCAGGCCCTCTGACAGTAGCAGCTCTTTTAATAAATGGCTTTGTTGAAACTTTAAAAACTTTTGTTTTATTTTAATATTTACAGGTGAAATTATATGAGATTTGCTTCCATATAATCTGGAACGGGGTGAGGATGGGTTCATTGATGAAACAGGGTTAGCTCTGAGTTATTAAAGGGGACTGATGAGCGTATGGGATTTGGACTAATCTTTCTACTTCTGTATGATACAAAGTTTAAAAAAATAGATCTCAGACTTATGTCTGTGCCCAGAAAGCTTATTCTATAAAATAGGTTCTTCCCCCACCCAGATTTCCTTTTAGGGTTTAAGATAATATTAATCTGTATCTTTGGAAGTATTTTTTAGTACTGGCAAAAATTAAAGGAAAGGAAGAATGAAAAAAAAAAAGCATTTTGGAATGGATAACGAAAAACAGGGTAACAGAGGAGCTGTAATTTAGCATTAGTGACCATAGTTAAATATTCAATAGTGCTTGTACTTGCGGCTGGCTGTGTATCAGTGTAGTTAGTTTACTTAATGATCCTGTGAATTGTATCTCTCTCATTTTTTTAGAAGTTCAGGCAAGGCTTCATTGTTAGGGCAGATCCTGGAGAAAAGATACAAAGAGACCAAAAAAGCCAGCTCCCACTTTTGAAGAGCCTGGAGCAAAAGCAGGGGACGTCTGGCGGGCCCCTGCACAGGCAACCTAAGGACTGGGCAAAAAGCCTAAGCCACCGTCCTGCCTGACCCCTGGACACCTCCCCTACCCGCACCCCATATAAGGAGCAAGCTGGCCCCCACCCGAGGGAGCTAGCAAGCCCCTAGGGAGCCAGCAGGCTAGAAAAGGGAGCTGGTACTTGCTTTCACTCCTGCTGCTGCCCAATTAAGCCTTGCCTGAATTTCTTTAAGTTACCTATTCATCCTTTGAGTTCTATTGTTATTCAAAATGCTACTTTTTTTTTTTTTTACAAAGATTGCTAGTGTTGTTTCCTTTTTGTATCTATCCCACAAGGATTAAGCTTGTTCACGGCACTTAAAAATAAGGCTTATTAGGGCCAAAAATGACTCTGGAGTGCATTTTTGGATTAAGTAGGGACTTGATCTTTCACAGCCTAAGTACTGTTTTCCAGCTGTTCCATGAACCGCCTGTGTATGAACTTTGCACGTGTCTTGCTCTCCAGGGAACTCAAAGTTGGCATTCCTGTCACAGATGAGAATGGGAACCGCCTGGGCGAGTCAGCAAACGCTGCCAAACAAGCCATCACGCAAGTAGTTGTCTCCAGGATCCTGATGGCAGCCCCTGGCATGGGTGAGGAGAACCTTGGCATCTGTTCATGTACTTGGCACGTCTTGCTTGAACAAGCGTTGGTGTGCCAGTGAGCACCAACCATGAAGGATCCCTCCCTGATGCGGCATCTGGCGGGGGAGGCAGAAAACTGGCCAAATAAGTCAACTATGTAATCTGTGAGATGGTTATCAGGGCCCAGCGGATACCGAGGGTGGGGATCTCGGAGTGGAGGTGTTATCGAACACAAGTCTGTGTGTACAGTGGGGCCAAACAACAGCAAAGGACAGAGTCTGGAGAGGAGAAAGACCTACTGCAGGGCTGGGCAAGGGCAACAGCGGCTCAGGCCCCTAAAACCCCAACGCGTTGAAAAGCAAAGCATTTTGAAAGGCCACACGGCGGGGAGGGGTGCCGCGGGGCACGTGGCTGGCTCCCGCACAGTTCCCGGATTGGTTGATGGTAAGGTAGCAAGGGGGTTAGCAGCTTCAGTCCTTAGGCGCCGCACAGTCTGGGGGCCGTGTGCTCATGAGCATCCTGAGATACTGTTATCTGGGTGCTTCAGAGAGGAGCTGCAGCAGAGGATGTGGGGGACGGGGTCTGTCCCAGGAAGACCCCAGAGGTCCTGCCCGGTGACAGAAGTAGATTGGGCAGATAAGGGGGAGGGTGGTTCCAGCGATGCATCTTCTGGGGCAGTTGGAGCAGCAAGAGACGGCTGAGGCACGCCTGGTGCTTGGAAGCATCACAGGGCCGCGTGGGGAGAGAGAAGGGGCCACGGGCAGCAGACGGGAGCCGGGCTGACGTGGGCAGAGCACGGATGGCTCTGTAGGCATTTGGAGTCCTGGCTTTAATCCGAGGGCTGGGAGGCCGTGCAGGGTTTTGAGCAGGGAAGTAGTGATAATAGCCCAACTCGGGCTTTACCTGCATGACTCTGGGTGCCGTGTTGAGAGTCAGCTGAAGAGGAGCCAAGACTGGTGATTGGAGACTGGTCAGGGTGGTGGATGGACCAGGGCAGCTGAGAGTATGAGTGATGAGAATTTGAAGAGAAAGAATTTGGTCTTTATCAATCTTGACACGAAATTTCTAACAGTTTTTGAATAAGAATATTTTACACTGAGAATTTATTTGTATCAATTGGAAACCATTGGAACACAAACCAAGTTGGGTTAATTCCAACAACTATGAGTAAAATGGCTGCCAGTATGGACTCAGTTTTGTCCATTAGACTTGGACTCAGCATGACAAAATGCAGAAGATCGCTGTTGTGACTTAGTTCCCCGGAGAATCTCTGATCTACTCCTAAAGCTTCTTCAGCTACCCTCAGACCAGGACTCTCAAGAAGGTTCTCAGAAACCAGAGGGCCCAAGAGTATGTTACTCTTTAAAGAAAAAAGAAAACAGAAATGAGTATCTTCAATTTCCTTGTCTAAATTGAATGCAGACAGCCCTTGGCCATTTACTAAGCCCTCAAAGGAAGCATAATTGATTGCTGTCACATTTCCCCAGGGATATTTGTTTGTTTGTTGTCTTTAAATTCCTTTTGTCACTGAGAATGCTCATCAGCATCCCTCACAAGTAGGAGTGAGCAAACAAAAGAAAACTTTCTTCCATTCCAACTACTGGCACTCCAGCTAATTGGTTTTCTGATTAAAAAGCAGAGACATTACTTTGCTGACAAAGGTCCCTCTAGTCAAAGCTATGTTTTTTCCGATAATCATGTATGGATGTGAGAGCTGGACCATAAAGAAAGCTGAACACCAAAGGATTGATGCTTTTGAACTGTGGTTTGGAGAAGACTCTTGAGAGTCCCTTGGACTGCAAGGAGATCCAACCAGTCCATCCTAAAGGAAATCAGTCCCAGATATTTATTGGAAGAACTGATGCTGAAGCTGAAACTCCAATACTTTGGTCATCTGATGTGAAGAGCTGCCTCATTGGAAAAGACCCTGATGCTGGGAAAGATTGAGGGCAGGAGGAGAAGGGGACGACAAAGGATGAGATGGTTGGATGGCATCACCGACTCAATGGCTATCAGTTTGAGCAAGCTCTGGGAGTTGGTGATGGACAGGGAGGCCTGGCGTGCTGCAGTCCATGGGGTCGCAGAGTCAGACACGACTGAACGACTGAACTGAACTGAACTAATTAGCCACCGTTAAGTGATTTAACAAAGACATCCTCGTGCGACAGCGGTGTGCACTGTAGGGGTGGGTGAACTGAGGAAACCACAGTCATGAAATGTAGGCCCAGGGTCCGCTGAGTCAGGGGCCAGCATGTTGTCACTGACCTGCGAGGAGGTGGGGAGGCCGCCTGGCACACCCGCTGAGCCCAGGTCTCCAGATTTTATGAGACCGAGGTGGGTAGGCTTTTAGTTTTGCTTTTTCCCATTTTGAAATACAAGGCTCCTCTTTAGAGTTCAGTCATCCCAACAGATTTGTTTCCACTGGCTTGGTTATCTTAAACATTATTTAGTCCCAGGAGAAGAGACAGTCTTTCTAACCCAGCAACATCTCTAAAGGTAATTGACGTATTGAAATTGCTGTGACAGTTTAGTCTGATGGATAGTTTCGTCTGAATCATGAGTAAATGAACTATGCTATCTGATGTTTTACATGCATCATTGCAGCTTATCGTCCTGGCTAGTTCGATACAGTTATCCCTATTATATAGATGAGGAAAACAGAAAACGAGGCTCAGAGCAGTGAGTTCACTTTCTCTGGATCACCCAGCTAACAGGTGGTCTGTGTGACTCAAGGCAGGAATTTTTCTACTGTACTCCACAGGGATGGACATCCAGGGAAGCCTGCATTTGTATCATTGGTACAGGAGGGGAAAGTTGTTGATGTTTGCATTGTTGCATATTTAATGTTAAAGTTCTCTTCAAGATCACAAAATTTTCTAGCTGGCATAGAGTGTTGTGTTATTTTTCAAAACTTTAACGAATGGAAACAGTGGGAGTGTTTTTAATGCTAAGATATTTTAAAGAATGTTGCAATTGCTTTTACTCTGCCAGTGTGAAACTAGTCTGCAAGTAACATAAGCCTTTCCTGAAATTCTTGAGGAAAAAAAAAAAACGTGAGCTGAAAATAGACATTAACAAAGATTTAAGCGGTTCTGTCTTTTCTTCCAGCCATCCCTCCATTTATCATGAATACTCTGGAAAAGAAAGCCTTTCTCAAGGTAAGCCCTAGTTCTGTTTATCCTTGTTTCAATCCTTACAATTTGTCTGCAGACCTCAAACTATACAGACTTGTTTCCCACGTGGATAGTGAGTAAAGAATTTGAGGGCCAGTGGCAATTGGACACTTGATGGAATATTTTATTTCTAATAAATATTTGAAAAAGCTCTCATAAATCTTTCATTTGTTGAATGCTGCCACTCTTGCACGGCCATAGCCCAAGGACACGCTTATCTTAGTTATCAGTCAGGTCCCTCGCTGAGTAATCATGAAGAGAGGGTATGAATTTGGAATGATTTGTTTGTAAGTCCCTGAACATACTATCTGAAAAGAAAGAATAATTGTGAGTAGTAGCTTCACAGAATACTGAATTAGTGCCTAGGTGTATTTTCCTGTGGTAATCATCTCTAATAATCCATTTATCTGCCAACCGCCTCCCCTCAGGGTCTGAAAATATTCCGGGGTGAAACTGTAACTGAGAAACCGCAGTGCATTGTCTGCATTCTTGCGGTCTCCACGACTCAGACGCAGCTGTATTTATGCTTCACCTTAGCTTTCCGGTTTCTTGTAACAAGTAGGAAAGAGGGGATGGGGTAACTCCTCTGGCTCCTGCTGTAATGGTGTCAGCAATACTTCCTACCGGAGGAGGAACGATCCAGTTCCTGGCTGGGGGAGCAGCTATGTTGTAAACACTGCAGCTCTCTCAGGGTGAACTGCTTTGGGTTTTAGCGACAGAACTGTCACATTGAGAGAACTACCAGACTTTGAAAGAAGGACATGGTTCATAGACCTGACGCTTTCTGAATGATTTCTGTGATTAGGAAAATTCTAAATGTCCGACAGATCAATTACCTGTATTCACCCTATGGGCTCCAGAGGGGAAAATTAAGGCCAACACCAAATACTTTCAATACAATCACATTCTCAGACAATAAGCCAAGAAAGTATGCTTTGTAAAAACAATAGTATTGAGTGCCTCATTTGACTGGCATGTCAGTTGTACCAACCCCCTGTTAGAACAAGAAAGAGGGCCCTCTCCTCGGCAGCCCGCTCATTCTCTCCCTGGAGCTTCGGAGCTTCTTCCTCTAGCAGTCTCACGCTGCGGTGTGAATGGTGTGATGGGGTGTTGCACTGTCTCTGTAGTGATCGAGCTATTCTCCTCAGAGCATCCCGGGCGACCCACAGACCCGTGGACCGCCCCCAGGAGGCAGCTTTCTCACCTGCCTTCTGAGTCTCCATCCATCTGCTGGTGGACTTCTGCAGTCTTAATTGTAAGATTAAACAAAAATGTAAGACAGTTTCACTGATTTAACCAGTAAAGCTATTAGTGAAGACCAAAATGTGAAGGTGACCTCATTTGACATCTTACCTACTTTGATAAGCTCTTACTTGAGGATTCATGAAAAGGCTTTGCTGAAGTCTCTTTCCTCTGCAGAATTTAGAAACAATGAATTCTTCAAAGCTGCTCAGGGATTAGTGTGTGTGCTGGAACAGGGACTAGATCTTGAAGCTGCCATATTATGTAAACAGATGAACTCTTTAAAGCTGCCAAGGAATTAGTATATGTACTAGAACGGTGACTAGATCTGAAAACTACTAAATTATGTAAACATCTAAAACTCACCAACTTTGATGTCTCAGTGATTTTCAGATAATCTTAAAAAAAAAAAATTGATGCTCCTTTGTCTATCCCTGCTTTCCTTATGGGAAGTGATTTAGGCTTTGAAGGAGAAAACCCATCAAATGAACTTAGAGAGGGGCCATCAGCATTATCCTCCAGGATGCTAGTAGGAAGTGGAACATCCAGTGGCTCCTTAACTTTATAGATAACGGAATTGATACACTGTGTCCTTCACTGCTAACTCTTGATCTGATAAGACGTTAGGATTATAGTCCTTCTGCAAGGGCATATGTTGACCCAGGCAACGTTTTTATTTTCCTGATTGTTAATTTATTAAGGTATTGACATGCCAGCTTCAGGGACAACAGAGAATCAAAGAACATATTTAATAAATCCAACCTCCCCCTCCTGCAGACTTTAAGCAAAATCAGACTTTTAAAGCAAGATCAGATTTCCAAGTAGATACAAGGCTTGGAGGCAGTCATCTCATCCTGGTTGTCTGGCATAAAAATACACTTTTGCAGAGGAATACTAAGTGTGGGTCATTCCACCAGTAGTATATGACTGTCGTGAATCAGCAACTGTGAATGCAGTGGGGAGACCACCTTCAGTGGCAATGTCCCCACCATCAAAGCTTTCCCAGTCCTTTCTCTCTGCCTCTCCAACACCACCCAGCACCCAATTAGCAGAGGGGTGTCAGCCCAACTCTGCAGTGAGGCTCCAAGTCTGGCCATTTGCCACTGCTGCTGGGACATTACTCTCTGGCCATCTCACTCCTGGCTGTGGGTATTAAGCACCCATGGGTGCTCATGTGCGCTTGGGATTCCAGAAATTCTGAGAGAGTCTGCATGCAGACCTACATTCATGCTGAAGTTAGGTCACCAGAGAAGACAGTGACGTGAACTTGGTCCTTTCTCCTGACTGTCATACCCTTGAACTCCTGGGGCCTCAGTGTTGTTGCAAAGTTGCAGCCGTTACTCTAGTATCTCAGTAACAGGCACTGGCCAGGAGACAGTGTTGGGCATATTGCATCGTTTTCCTGCTGGGACAGACAGAAGTGGCTACAGATACAGCCTGGCATGTTCTTCCATGAAGCAGCCAGCAAATGATGCAAGCAGTTAGCCCTACTCCCACGTGGCCCTAGGGTCTTTCACAGGGAAAATGAGTAGCTGTTGTGTTTGTCTCCCTTGTCCTTCCTCTGTGGGTTATGGTTTTCGGCTTGCTTGGTGCTGTGCCCTTCAACAATAATTTGGAGGTGGGCTGCCTTGCTTCCCCTCTGCCTGCCCCACTTCCCCCCTGCAGGCCTCACGCTGGGCCGGAGGAGGCCGCTGGCATCAGAAGCCATGGGGTGGTGAGGGCAGGCGGTCAGAGCGGATCATGGATCCGTCCAAGGGCCTCACTAGCTGTCAGGGTCTGGCTGCTGCTCAGCTGGTTCAGACCTCAGTGGAGGATGATGCTTTGGAAAAACTATGGCTAAATGTTGAGCTCCTCAGACATAATCCCATTCCCACATTCAGGGTTGTTGTTGCATCAGAATACTGCATTTTTGCCCACGTAGCAAGGACTGTAGGACTTCACTGAGAGTGTGGCCGTTGTGAATGCAGAGGTGGAAGCAGCTTATATTTGTGTCCATACATTTCTGTCTGCAGAGCGCTTTCACACGCTATTCGGAAAGGGAGGCTTTTCTGAGCCCCTTTTACAACAGCTCAGAGATCGTTTCTCCAGCCGTGCATCATGCCCACATGGGTGGCCGCGTCTGCCGGGGTCGGGCGGCCCTCTGCTCCCACAACTCCACCAGGCAGATGTGCCTCCCTGCAAGGAGGTACTTCTCGGGGCTTTCACCATGGATGTGACTAAACTCCTCTGCAAACATGAAAGGAATTGAATGTTCTTGGCTTTTTAAACGGTGAGCTTGGGGAGCATTCGGGGTGACTCATCCTCCCCCCACGCCCTGTCTTTTTCCAAACGGAGTGCTAGCAAAAAGCATCAGCTGTGGGCAGGTGACTCACCGAAATCTCTGCAGTAAACCAAAAGTTCACTGCTTAAAAGTTGGTGCTTTACCCAACAGTTTTCTTGAAGAATAGCTCCTGTGGTCTCTTTACCTTGCTGGCACTTTTCATTAAGAACAAAGTTGATATGAATTGGGTCAGATAAGAACTCCTCATTCCTGAAGTTCTTGTTCATTTATATTTTCTTTAATGAAGGTGGACGGCTCTGTCTACTCTGTTGATTTTCAGGGTTGTCTGCTAATGGAGTGTGAATGTAGCATTTATTTGTCAATTCATTTGATGCAGCAGGCCTTGGGTGAATGCCTGTTGCACGCCAAGCAATGTGCTGGGTGCCATTATCATAGGAATAAGGCTTGGGCCCTGCTCTCAGGACCATCCGGTGTGGTGGTGGGGAGGGCACGGGGTACATGGTTCCCATACATGGTGAACAAGAGTGTGGGGCTTGGAGGGGCCTAGGGGAGTTTCTCCCCCAGCTGCGGCAGGTGAGCGGAGACCCCTGCAGATGACAGGCACTGCAGAGTTGGGAGGGAGGCCTGTGTCTGGTCAGGTTGCCTGGGCTGTGGGCTGTGTGTAGGGAATTGATGGCATACATACATATACATATCAGCCCCCAGTGGTTCATGGAATCTGAGTGTAAAAGTCTACAGTTGTCATACTTCTAGAAGAAAATAGAACATCTTTGAGATCTGGAGTTAAGCAAAGATTTCTTAGACTTAACACCAAAAGCACAGTCCGTAAAAGAAAAAATGGACAAATTGGGCTTCATCAAAATGTTAAAATTCTGTTTTTTGAATGCTATAAAGAGAATGAAAAGACAGGGGACAGACTGGAGAAAATTTATGCAGAGTATGTGTCTGATAAAGGACTTGTATCCAAAAGATACACTTATTCAGGAATACAACTCTAGTTTTTTAAAGGGCAAAAGGTTTGAACAGATATTTCACCAAATATACATAGCTGTCAAGTAATATCACATGTAAAAATGCTCAGTATCTTTAGTCTCTGGGGAAATTCAGGTTAAAAACCACATTGGCTACCTCTAAACACCTGTTATTAGAATGGCTAAAATTAAAAAGACTGACCATAATAAGTGTTGGCAAGGATGTAGATAGAGGACCTGAAACTCTTATTCCCTACCAGTGGGAATGTAAAAGACAAGACCACTTTGTTGTTCTTGTTCATTCTCTGTCGTGTCCAACCCTTTGCAACCCCGGAGACTGTAGCACACCAAGGTTCCCTGTCCTTCACTGTCTCCTGGAGTTAGCTCAAACCCATGTCCATTGAGTCAGTGATGCCATCCAACCATCTCATCCTCTGCCACCCTCTTCTCCTCCTGCCCTCAATCTTTCGCAGCATCGGGGTCTTTTCCAGTGAGTCAGCTCTTTGCATCAGGTGGCCAAAGTATTGGAACTTCAGCTTCAGCATCAGTCCAATGAATGAATATTCAAGGTTGATTTCCAATAAGATTGACTGGTTTGATCTCCTTACAATCCAAGGGACTCTGAAGAATCTCTGGAGAATAGTTTGGCAGTTTCTTAAGTTAAACATATGCTTACCATGCAGTCCAGCCATTTCACTCCTAAGTATTTACCTAGAAGAAATGAAAATGGACGTCCATAAAGGGCAAGTATTCAAAGAAGCTTTATTTGCACTAGCCCCAAACTGGAAACAGTCCAAATGTTCATAAACAGGAAAATGGATTATCAAATTCCATTCACACAATGGAATACCTAACCCAGCAATAAAAAGTCCTGAACCATGCGGTATATACAACAGCATGAGTGAATCTCAAAATAATTATACAAAAGAGTAGATACTGTATATAAAGTCCTAAAAATCATAAACTAGTATATAATGACAGAAAGTAGATCAGAGGTGGCCAGAGAATGGGTATAGGGTTTAGGAAAGATGGTGGAATGGCCAAGGGCACAAGAAACAAGGATGATAGCTACTAATATTTAATTATCTTGATTGTGGCAATGGCCTCACAGCTGAATACATGTCAAAACTTCTGCACGGTCAGTATGTGCACTTGACTGTATTTCATATACAGTATGAAGTAAAGAGTAAAGATCATTGGAAAGAGAAAGAATTTACTCATACTAACTTTTTGAGCTTTTACATCATTGAATATGTATCTTTTTAAACTTGTGATTACTATCTTTGATTCATTTAAAATATCCTGTTTCCACAATTCTGTGCTATGTCCCTCCCTCAAGTTCTGTGATTATTTAGGGCAAAACCAAACATCCTCAGCTCACTTTAAAAATCTCAGACCAAGTTCTGTTTGAAGTAGGGGTGAATGAGGGGGGAGGGGGTGCTGGAAAGGAGTTGGGAGTGGGGATGACATCCAGGCTGAGCTTCGTGGGAGAGATCAGAATTATCCAGCATCCTTGTGGTTACTGAGAACCCTTTCAACAAAACCCTGCGCACGTGCACCCTCCAGCCTTTGGTCTGTGCACGCCTGTTGTTAAGATCACACCCAGCTCTTCAAGAGTCCACTTGAGAAGCAGAGGCTGCTCTTGTGGGCTCTCGTGGGCCTGTCTTCTAGCAAGATCTTATTCAGTTCTTAGCTTGCCTTCCCATCTCCAAGTCTGTGCTCCCAGACTGATGAAAGAAGGAATGCTAGGAAGACGATTTCCCATCTCCTTATGAAAATCCTGCAGCATCAGTTGGAGCCAGCTGCCCCAGATGCAGTGTTTCCTTCTCCTGCCATCCCTTGAGGGGTGGGGCCCGTCTGCGCGAGCTCTGTGGGCCTGTCTCTGCTTGCTGACATCTCTCCCTTTCTCTCCCTTAACCCACGGGATGTACCTTTTCACCAGAGGAGCCTTCTCGGAGACCAGGGTACGCCTCGCACACAACCCCCTGGGGATCCTGGTCTTTTAATTAACCGCTCGTGTTAACTCTGGCTGATTTCATTACAACTAGTTGGCAAGTTGGTGGCAGCTTTTTCAGTGGCCTTACTTATATAATCTATGTATCTCGTTGCTCTTTATATTGCATATTATGCTTTTGTAAAATTCCCTTTTGAAAACTAAAAATCTAATAGCACTTACTCTCCGAAATACCAACCAACTCACTCATTTCCATTAGTGAAAAAGTGGCAGCCAAGAATTTGTTATGCCAGCAGTTATTTTAACCTTACTGACAGCAATTAAAACCAAGAAAGGAGGGGTGCGGGGTTGGGGGCGGGGCAGCAGTGCCTTTTGGATTTCTGAACACTCCAGGCACAGCGCTAGGTGCTTGATAAATGTTATCTGGTGTATCTTCGCGCACAGGCTTTTAGGAAGCTGTTGGGATCTTCATTCTACAGAGAAGGAACCAGAGCTTAGGCTGGGTGGACTCTGCCTCCCCACTCCCACAGTGGGGGTGAACTGGAAGGGCAGAGATCTGAATACAGGTTTGTTAGTCTTCCGGATTTGGAGCCACACTCCTCCCCAGCCAGGAGACAAATTATAGCTAAGCGAGAACAGTTTCTCCAGCTCCCATTTACAAGCAGGCGTCTCTCTGATTCTAAACGCAAGGGAGGAATATGAGAAGTCGCCTGCCCCTTGCACGTGCATCGTGGCCAGACCGCCAAGAGCTGCGGGAAGTCAGGACTAACATGCCGTTGCAGTGGTACCCCCACACCTTGCTAATCGCATCCCAGCTGGATCTGTAATGTGGCCACACTCCTTCCAATTAACCGGCAGAAAAAACTGTCTCTGAGAGCCTGTATAAGTATTCAAAATTGTTTATTTCTCTACCCAGAGGTTCCCATGGATGAGCGCACCTGTTCAAGTTGGAATAGTTGGCTTTTGGTGAGTAGAATTACTTCAATGTCATTCTTTTTTTTTTTTTAAGATTAATATACAGCATATGAAAGTGAGGGCTAATATGGGACATGCATTTTGAAAACTGAGACCAGTCATTAGCTAGAAAGAAACTGTCTTTAGAGAAACCTGCAACATTTGGGGCTATTTGTGTGATTCTTTTTTAAAACTCCTTTTATCTCTGATTTTTTTTTTTTTAATTACTTTGGCAGACCTGAGTAGTAAAATTACACGAACAGGACATATTTTTGTGTTGGCAGTATAATACTCAAAAGAAAGAAAGGGGATTGTTATCAAAGTAAAATAGAAAAGATCTGAAAACTAGACCATTTCTAAAACGCTCTGATGTGTCTTTTCTGTTCTTTTTAAGCTTGGTATTTGCCACACCTCTGTGCTGTGCTCTGTTCCCTCAGAAAAGGTATGTATTTGTTGCTCTTCAGAACGATCATATGTTTTAACCCTAAAAACTAGTTGAAGACACAGGTTCATTTCACTAGGAGGAAAGTTGAGTATCAAAAAGATAATGAAGCTGAGTCTCTAAAAGGAAGAGATAGAGGCAGAAATTAAATGCACATCTATTTAATATCAAAACTCTCTTTGCCCAGCTCTTTGCTACCTGCTATGATTACATTTGAAAATGCTTTATTCTTGTGTAAGACCCAGGTTAACTCTGGTGCAAATTTGCTTTTATAAACATTTAAATATGGTTCACTGATGTCCAGTCCATTGGCTAAGCAGAAATATTAGAATTTAAGTTCTACCCCTAGGGAGAGCAACTGTATGCACTTAACTTTGGCGGTTGGTATTTTGGCTTTCCTTCTTCCTACTTGAGTTGTTTTTTTTTTTTTTCTTTTTGCCTTAAAAGCCTTATTGTGCATGTCTTTTATCACAAGTTGCCCTTGAATCCTGCCTTTGATGTAAAAACTGGATTAACTGGCATTAAATCAACATCACATAAATCTGAGGCTTCAGCCTTTTTCTCGTCTAATGTCAAGGCGCAGAGGGGCAGCATTCTGCTGTTTTGCTGTGATTTCTGTTACCAGTCCTGCGTTTATCATGTCCTTCATGGGCCAACAGGCCCCACACAGATGGCCTTTAATGCCCTAGGCTTTCCAGTAGCTTTGGGATGCGGTAGTCTCTTCTAGAACTGACTTCATCAGGTCCCCCTATCTGATAGAGACATGTGTCTTTTATCTGGCCTTTCACTTCTGTCTTTGACCCCCACTGTTGTTAGCTGGGGAGTTAAATTTCAAGGAGAGGGAACCTTTATCAACTTGATGCCCATAGTTAAGCCCCCCTTGGAGAGGGCAGGAGCTTCAGAACCTGTTGTGAACCCCGATACAGATGAATTTCCTGAAGAGGAGCACTGTTTAATTGTGCGAACCCCAGAATCTCAGGGCTTCAGGTAAGAAAGGTTTGTTTCCTTAGTGTAGGCCCTGGAATATCCGTGCTCAGCGCTTGACCTTGCACTCGGTGACTTAGGAGTGTGGCATTTGGGTCGAGAAGGATCTGACTTCAAATCTCAGCTGCACCTCTAGTTTCCTTATCTATAAAATCAAGATCATACTGACTTTCCAAGGTTTTATCAGGGTTAAAAACACATGATGCCCGACCCAAAAATTGAGCACTAAGTCATATCCATTATCATTGCCGTTAGTGACATTATTCTAAGATTACCCGCGGTCCCAGAGAAGGAGAAAGCACCGTGCTTTCTCCTGTGGTCATAGTGTTCTTTTTATACATCCTATCTTTTTACCGCTTAGTTTACCGCGTCTCCACTATGGTGGTGGTGGTTTAGTCACTAAGTCTAGTAAGTCTAGTCTAGTAAGTCACTAAGTCCTGTTTGAATCCTGCTACCCCATGGACCGTAGCCTGCCAGGCTCCTCCGTCCATGGGATTTTCCAGGCAAGAATGCTGGAGTGGGTTGCCATTTCCTTCTCCAGGGGATCTTCCTGACCCAGAAATCTCCATTGCAGATGGATTCTTTACTGACTGAGCCACAGGAAAGCCCACTCAAGTAAAGAACAATTCTTTAGAAACTAATTACTAGTGTTACCAAACCCAAGGTCAGCTGCTTGCAGCTCCGAAGCCAGTAATTCAAGACACAAGTGTCAGTAGAAAGGAAAGATGCTTTAATCAGGGAGAAGGTGGACTCATGTCTAGAGACCAACTCCAAAGATTTTGCTCAGTTGTGACAGTTTTTTTTTTCCCATGTAATACCTTTTATTTAAAAAAAAAAAAAAAAAACTTTTAATTTTTGTATTGGAGTGTAGCCAGTTAACAAAGTTGTGACAGTTTCAGGTGAAGACCAAAGGGACTCAGCCATACGCATACATGTATCCGTTCTCTCCCAAACTGCCCTCCCATCCAGGCTGCCACACGACTTTGAGCAGAGTTCCACGTGCTACACAGTAAGACCTTGTTGGTTATCCATTTTAAATATAGCAGAGTGTACGTGTCTGTCCCAAACTCCCTAACTATCCCTTCTCCCCATATCTCCCCCAGCAACCGTAGGCTTGTTCTCTAAGTCTATAAGTCTGCTCCCATTTTTTAAGCAAGTTCATTTGTATCGTTTCTTTTTAGATTCCACATATAAGGGATGTCATAACATATTTCTCCTTCTCTGTCAATCATGACAGTTTTTAAAGGAAAAAAAAGGAGGGGAAAGAACCTCAGTGAACCACCAACTCTGTCTTCAGATGTTGTCTTGCCCGAATGATCTGCCTGCAGATTGCTTGGCAAGGGGCAGAGTGGAGGGTGGGTGTTGGGGATAGAGAGCTTGTCGTTTTTTTAACTGCTTGCTTCTTCATTCTTCTTTCTATCTATCTAGGAAAAGAACAGGTTATTCAGGAGTTAGGCTAAACTGCCTGGTGATCTCATTCCTATAATTAGTTTCTTTTAAGATTAGACCGAAATGGGCAAATAAGAAAGGGGCAAGTGAGCTTTCCATAACATGCTTTCCATAACAGATAGTCAACAGTCTTGCTGTCCAGTTTTTCTTCATCCTCTTATATATTAAGTATGCATTCTTAATGGAAAATGAGCTGTAATACATATGAAACATTCGGGTACATTTTTTACATGCACAAAGCGAAGACTCACAGGAGTCCTCAGTAGTGTGACTACAAGAGATGTTTCTTCTCGTATATTTTCATATTTTCTAAAAGTTTCAGAATATATATCACTATACAGTGGACAGAAGCACAGTAATGCAAGTGAATTTTTAGTGCTAAAAATTCCACTGAATGCATGTATCTTTTTCTCATGAATGGTGAACATTTATGTTGTTTTTCTTGGGAAGTGTCCTGACCACAGATTATTTTCCGATACATCAGGGTCTGAGAGTGTCATTACCATACTGCCTTGCCAGCAGTAAGTGAGTTTTAAGGCTTTTAGTAAGATGAGAGATTAAAAAGGGATCTGATGGTGGCTTTCTTTCTGATTTAGTGATGGTTTTCTGGAACATGAAGCATTTTTCAAACAGGGCTCTTGCACCAGTCATGGGGGTGAACGGGGGTCCTCCCTTTCCTCTCCTCAGGTTCGAATTTCCACCTCCATCCCTGGGATGACCCTGTCGTTTTCCCCCTTCTAGTTCCATGTCTGTGACAAGCTTGGAGGCCGAGCTGCAAGCCAGGATCCGAGAGACCCACCCTGAACTACAGCGTGTGCACTTTAACAAGGGGCTATAAAGCAGGTTAAGAAGCGTCTTCAGAGGAGCCTGCCAGCCGTGAGCCCGGTGCAGCCGAGTTGGAGAGGCGAAGCCTGGGCGGCCGGGTTCTCTCGGGGACAGAAACCTGTTAAAGACCCCTAGAAGCCTTTAGAGTCCAGCTGCTACCTAGGACACAGCCCCTGGGGGTCTGCGTGCCTCACCTGCCAGCCCCCGCCCCTTACGTTTGGATCATGGTGTGATTCACAGACCCCCTTCCTGTAGCCTTTCAAAGCCGGTGTCCCGATCACACCCAGAGTTTTCCAGAGCACTGCTAGGCATAGAGTTAGATGTTCAGCATATTGATTGTCAGTCGGTAGAAGGGAAATCTGTTTAAAATACTGAATTTTTATCCCACTCTTGTTTCAAATCAAGGAGAGCTGCCTAGTGAGTTGAGAAAACACAAAAGCCCTGAGGCTAAACTGTAAAAAAAAAAAAAAGACTCGTAAATATTAAGGACAGTTTGCTTTTCTGCCCAGGTTGGACAGGAGGCAACCTGAAGTAGAAGATGGATGTTTTGGATTTTTAGGATAAAAGCTCCTTCATATACCTCCTGAAAGTCAAAATAATAGACAGTTGTGATGCATGGAGGCCGCTGTCAACAACTGTAAGCTTTCCTATTGCTGGTAGCTTTCTTTGATTGAATTTTAAATTTATTATGTTTTATATTCTTATGAAGGTATTAATCTTACCTTGCACTTCTTGACTTTCTATTCAGTCATTTAAGTCAACTAATTAAGTAACTGAAATGCACAACTTGTCAACTTTGGAGAGTATATTCAAACCAGCACTATATCTGGCTTTTTTTTTTTTTTTTAGAATCAAAAGAACAGTCTTATCTACCTACATCTCTTTTCTTGTCATCCTAAAGGTTTCTTTGGCTTTCAGAAAGATATAGAAATAATGTGTATGTGAATTAGTGACTCAATGGATTTTACTTGAATGTTGTATATTACATTCCACCCCGTTTGAAAATAACCAGCCCATGGACCACTGTTTACATCACCTGTCCTAGTTCCACATGTAAGATATTTAATGTAACAGAGATTATGCTGTAATTCTGTAGCGGTTCAAAGGCATATGTGAGGTGATTATTTCAGTAAGCGTAGACCACTCAGTACGATGTGTAATTCAGAGACCTGTAAGTGGAAAAACACGTAGAAGCTAATTTGGGCAGATTTTCCTGCCGATGTGAGCAGACCGAGTCTCCTCGTAAAGAAGGAATGCTGTGTGTGCTTGAGTCTGTGCTTCTCTCTTCTCTGACGCGGCGCCTGGACCTGAAGCTGCGGGCTGCCCTGAGCCCTCATCTGTGCGGCCAGAACTTTCTCATGTACGTTTTCTGTCCTAAGCCATTTGAAGCAAAAGCGCTTCCCCGTGACTTTCTGACCTTGGATGTCTTTTGTTGCCATTTTTGCTTCTCTTTAAAAATTGGTAAAAGCTAGAAATTTGAGGCAGAGCTCCACGAAGTGCTTAAAGGGCACTTTTAACAAGAAGCGAAGGCAACTTGAAGGGCTCCTCCAGTGGCTCAGATGGCAGAGAGTCTGTCTGCAGTGCAGGAGACTTGGGTTTGATACCTGGGTCAGGAAGATCCCCTGGAGAAGGAAATGGCAACCCACTCCAGTGTTCTTGCCTGGAAAATCCCCTGGACGGAGGAGCCTGGCGGGCTACAGTGCATGGGATCGCAAGGAGTCAGACACGACTGAGCTACTTCACTTTCAATTTCAAGACCTTGAACCCCCACCCCCCACCCCCCAGCCTCCCGCCCCCAGCTAACCTCAGAATTCTTAGCCCTGGATAATTGGCAGCTCCATGTTAGTCTTAACCTTCATTGAAAAGTGAGTGACTGGTTGGAAGATTGACCAACCAGAAGTTTAATGCATACCAGAATGAGATGACCAGAGCCTCATGACAAAAGGGATAATGAGCCTCGAGATGTGTCTTTTTAAACGTTACCTGTTGAAGCTTCTGATTTTTGATGCTTTATAGAGAAATATGAACTGTAGAGTTGAATCATGGTTTATCAAAAGGAACAAAATGAACCAAGATTGGCAGTTTGCTGATCTCTTAGGAATACCTTTTCTGGAGAAAAGTTCACATGAAGTGCAATAAGCTTGTAAAGGTAAATAGTTATTAATATTTTGGGTAACATAATGAATTATGATTATAAGTATGGACTGACTGGCAGCTTTTATTTCAGTATTAGCAAGTGTCTGGTCAGTGTTGGAGTCCATGTATTATTTCATTTCAAGTGGATGAAATGTTAAATAAACTCAGAATCAAAATAAATCCTCTCTTTTATTTGTATGTAAAGGACGAAGCAGTTTTTATGTTATGTCTGGGTGCCATCAGTAATGCCTGTATTAGTCAGGTGATAATTTCTAGTTTTGGCCAACGGTTTTCCACTTTCTTGAACACCATAGCAGCACCCAGCACCCGCCATGAGCCCCACAGTGTAAATTCCAGGAACATTCATCATGACACAGGGGGAATGAGATTCTGCCTTTGGCCTTGGTGACTAACACCCTTGCACATGATGTTGAGGTCAATTTGTTTTTATATTGTTCGTCAGATTTTAACATGAACCTAGCATTTGCCATAGTTCACAGAGAAAATGTAAATTTAACCCAGGGTCTGGAGAGTGCCTTATTAACAGGCATAATAAAGAACCGAGCATTTTACCCTCCTTTGTCACATCTCTGCATCTGTTTGACTGCCAAAACTCTGTTCATCACTTAAATCATGGAGATATATTTGAGATATATTCTAGGAGTCAGACAGAGCCAGTACAGTGGATTGTACCTATTGTAAAATACATGTATTTGGGCTGCTGACATTCTTTCTGACCTTCAGTTTTATTGGTTTGGATTGTTTGGACAGAATAATTGGATCTGTGTCATAGAGCTGTTGTTAACAAGATAACTCCAGTGTAGCGCTTCACATACTGCCCGGCACACTCAGTGGATGATTGTTCATCGTGTATTTGTTTAAAGACTCAATGTGCATTCAAAATGCCAGTGTATCAATATACTGGTAAGATTTGAGAATCCCAGCAACTTCCCCAGAGACAACCCACAACCTCACTAAAAATAGCAGATTCAAACGGTCACAGGAAGACACTTGAATCAATCCTTTTAAAGTCCCTAACAACAGTTTGCCTAAATGAGACAGGCAGGGAAAGTTTCTACACATAGATGAGAAAGCTGGGGCTTTGATAGTACAAGTTCAAGACTGTCCCCGGTTGCTTGAAAACTATAGTGGCAGCCAAGGTCTGACACCCAAAGCTACAACTGGAATGCTCTACTAAAATTAGTTTTTTATTTGTGTATTCTCATGTGTTCAGAATTTCACTGAAAGCCAAAGAAAAGGTTTTATTTGGTAGCAGTGATACAAGGATTGCTTAAACTAGATTTTCAGTGTGGTCCATAGCCCAGCAGCATCCAGGTTTGTTAGAAACGCAAGTTCTTGGACCTCAGCGTCTGCAGAAAGAGGAGCCGCAGGATTCCTGCACACGTCATAGCTGGAGAAGGTCTGCCGTGCTGCATCCCCGTGCTCCCAGAGACCCAGGTTTCCCTCGGTCAGTTTCAGGTCAACCTCAGATACTCTGAATGTCTGTATCCACCCCTCACCAGACTCCAAGGAAGCTTCCAGCTTCAATGTGGACAGTCTCAGGGACATGATTAACACGCTTGCGATCTCTGTTTTGTCCACGGCCACAGCTCCGTCACCTGAAATGCGTGGCCCCAGCCGACCTGTGATTACCCGGTTCATATGGAATTTGTGTTCTTTCCAGGAACCTGAAGAAAGGTCCTCACATTTCCAATTTCCAGTTGTAGAAAAGAATCCACTTGGTGTCACGGAGAGGTCATCCCCAGGAGGTGGAAAGAACAAGGAATCTCAAGGTTTCTAGGAACAGCTGGAAGTGAAGGTTACCCCTGGGAGCCGAGCGGCAAGGTGGCTGGGACCAGCCAGGTTGTGGCCATTGTTCCTGAACCAGCCCAGCTGTCATGGAGGCCAGCGCTGCCCCTGGAGCTTCCGGGCAGAAGGAGCAGTCCAGACGATACACAGAGGGCTTGTTGGACCCTTGGGGAGCCCAGGGTATGCCCAGTCTTCAAGAGAAGGCCTGTGAGGCTCAGAGAAGAGGGATGATTCGTCTAATCACGGGGGGGCCAAACTGCCACCTCAGTCCAGGCCTGTCAAACCCGAGTGTCTGCCACTGTGCTTCCCAGCTTTGCCATCAATAGGCACGCCTAGAACTAGCTTTGGTACCAAAGCTAAATCACAGTCTTCAGCGTGGTTTTTTTTTTTTCTGCATACATTACTCCTTGTAATACCCCAAAGAGGTTCCTGTGAGCGTCACATCCATTAAAAAAGGTGGGAAAACTGTCTTGAAGAGGTGAAATCACTTACCACAAACCAAACATGGTGAATTCAAAGGACTGTAAAACATGTATTCACGTTCCCACATACACCCCCGCAAACAAAAGGTTTGTAAAACATACAAATTCAAATAAGCACCCAACCAAGGTGAAAGGCAGGTCAACAGGCTCATTTCCAGATGGGATTCCGTATTAGAGTAACGCGAGCAATGATTCTTCGCTCCCAAGCCCTGGGGTTACCGAGCCAGTCATCCTTGATTGCAGCTTAATTCCAGCTCCCGGCTAGCAACGATGGAAACAGAATCTGCCCCGAGACCAGCCTTGAACCTGTGGTTTCCGCGCTCCAGACCAGAGACAGTCGCAGCGCCGAGAGACGCCGCCAGGGGGCAGCATAGCCTGCAAGATCAGGCGGTTGGAACTCGCCGATCCCCAGAACGGCAGGCAGAGGACGCCGGGCCGCAAAGGGCGGCCTGGGAACATGCATCTCTGGATTTCCGAGGCCAGGTCGGGAGGATGACGCAGGAAGCTACGAGAAGGACGTGCTCTCTCAGGCAGCAGGAAGCTGGGAAGATGCGGAGACAGGCAGGAATGGAGTCGTCCCCTGGGGCTTATTGTGCAGAGCACCTGATTCCCGACGGGAGGAGTCAGAACTGAACCCAGAACCACCGTGAGCCGGAATCTGTCCCTGCCCTTAGCCATCGCGCCTGGCCCTGGACCAGGAGCCCTGAAGCCAGCTTGCAGAGGGGAGCTGGAGAGGGCTTTAAGGAATGGTATCCCAGCTGATACTGGGAAGAGGAGAGATTTTTCCCTGGGAGGAGAAAACGGGCGGGGAGAAAGCCAGGTCTCCTGGTACAGAAAAGGCTTCACCTCACCACGAAAAGACCTGGAAGCCTGGAAAGGGTGGCTGAGTGGTGTGTGCAGGGAGGGAACTGTGGGGGAATGCCGCCGGTATCTCAGGGTTGTGAGGGCCCCTCAGCACCCAGTGACGGAGAGCCGGCTTCATCCGAAAACAGGCAGCCCCTGTGCGTGTTTGTCCGGGGGAGGAACAGCAGTCACACCCTCGCTCGGCCACCTGTGTGGCATCAGCCAGATCCCCTCTCTGAGCCTCAGTGTTCTCATCTGTAAAATGGACACAATAAACCCTACATTACGGTCTTGCTGTGAAGCTTAACATGGATAAATGGAGAGCCTGAAGTCATGACTTTCCTTCCCCTGTCCTTTTATCTGTCTGCAGTAAAGCAGATAGAAAAGACTGACAAGCAAGCCCTAATTTACAGAATGTCACAATGGCAGCCCAGCGAGCATTACTAGTCCTGGGGAGTCGTCCCAGCTAGTTTCCAGGGACCAGGAAATCATTTCATCCTGTGTGATTGCAATCAAGAACAAGCTCTTTCGTCTTATTCCCTTTTATAATGAAAATGTATTTTAATCATGTGCAGTCTCCAAGAAAGATGGTAGCAGGAGGGAAGAGTGTTTTTGATAAGAAAAAGCTAAAAATAGAAATGAAGATGTCGATTCTATTGAAATTCCAAAGGATGCCAACATTGCGATACAAACTCTGAATAATAATTTCGGTCCAGACGATAGGAGGGGGCACTGCTGGGGGCCCTTTCCCCCATGGAACCATCTCAGGTGCAGCAAGAGAAGGGCTGTACAGCTTTCTGGCTGGGCCGCGTGGGTGCAGATGGCTGAAATGGGAAAGAAAGAAAAAGTTTTCTTCCAGCAGCCTTCTCACCAGCAGGGTGACTCACATCTGTAAATCCAGTGGTGATGACCTGATGAGGAGGAAGAGGGTGCTGTTACTGACAAAGAAGCTGAGAGGGAATTTTGCTTCCACGGTGAGCCTCCAGCTTCCCCGAGCTCCTTTGCAAGACAAAATCTGGACAATGGGGAAAACAAAACAAAGAAACCCCAGGCTGCGAAGTAGAGCCTGACAGTAAAAATGGAGGGAGGGAGGGGGACGTCTGGACAGAACGCTGCCTGGACCAGCTGTGGGCAGTAGCTCTCAAGTCTGAGGGTTGAAAGCAGGTCGGGGTGGGGTGGGGGGCGAGGGAAGAGGGGTGAGGGTGGGGGGTGCAGGTTTGGGGGGAGAGGGTGCCAAGAGGTAGCACATGCGGGGCACCCGTCCTTGAAACTGCACAATAAGAGGGCACCCCAGTCTGGGGGGAGGACAGGGTCTCTCCCCTTGCCTTTTGCAGCAGCATCAGAAGAGCCTTTCACAAGTCCCACTGCTCAGGCCCCATCCAAGCCAATCACATCCCCACAAGCAGAGGTGGCCTGGAATCGGCATTTTCGGCTCCCCAGGCCTTGGCTTCTGAGTGCAGCCGGGGCTGAGGACGGTTGTTCTCAGGACTGAGGAGTACACGGAAGTGTCTTCCTGGCTTTGGAAGCGCAGGAGTTGCGGGGGGCGCGGGGGGCGGGGCGTGGCTGATGCCGGGCAGTGAGGTGCCGCTCAGCAGGGAGCTCGGGAGCGAGTCCGTGTTCTCATTTAGATGCACGCGACTCCCCAGGAGCCGGTGACAGACGGGATGCGGGGGCTCACAGTCACTCGGCGGTCGTTTCCCCCTATCGCCGCCCCGTTTATTCTCACAGCACTCTGCCGATGAACTGGGACTCCAGAGGCCACCACCTCACGGGTGAAACGGCGGCCTTTCAGGCGCTTGCCAGGGGTCGGCAGGGCGCTCCCGGCCCCAAACCCTCCGCTCGGCCCGCCGGCCATCGCGGCGAGGGGAAGACCAGCCTTCTGACCCCGGGGTAAGAGGGGACCCGGACCGTCGCTGGATGCCCACAGCACACGTCCTCAGGAGCGCAGCAGCGCGGGAGTTCTGGAGGCCGTGGGTCTGCAGAGCTTGCAGCGTGAGTGCAGTGATGAAGCTGCGGGAGCCCCGCAGGGCGCTCTATTCCGGGCACGCAGCTGCCTCCTCCAGCCTTTCCCACCCCATCCCCGCTCCGGCAGGTCCCCCCGGCACGCCTCCTCCTTCAGCGGTCTTTTCTGCCTCAACCTCTCTGACCTAAGAAGCTCTTTCTTTTCACTACCAAAATAATACATGCTCACAAGAATAAACTAAGATGACACATGAGTGTGTAAAGTGATCGCTTCCTTCTAATCCCAGCCCCAGCCCTGCCTTCTTCGGGGGTGGGGGGTAACTGCCTTGTATTGATCTGTGCTCATCCAGGGCTTCCCTGACATCGGTTGGTGAAGAATCCGCCTACAATGCAGGAGCCCGCGATTCGATTCCTGGGTGGGGAAGACCGCTAGGGAAGGGATAGGCTATCCACTCCAGTAATCTTGGGCTTCCCTTGCATGGCTCAGCTGGTAAAGAATCTGCCTGCAATGTGGGAGATTCGGTTTTGATCCCTGGGTTGGGAAGATCCCCTGGAGAAGGGAAAGGCTACCCACTCCAGTATCCTGGCCTGGAGAATTCCATGGACTGTATAGTCCATGGAGTCGCAAAGAGTTGGACACAGCTGAATGACTTTCACTTTCATCTGGACCTTGCATAGTATGCCATTCACTGTAAATGTGCTCAGGCTCCCGCGTTGGCACTAGTGTGGAATCCGCCTGCCAATGCAGGAGACATAAGAGATGTAGATTTGCTCCCTGAGTTGGTAAGATCCCCAGGAGGTGGGCATGGCAACCCACCCCAGTGTTCTTGCCTGGAGAATCCCATGGACAGAGGAGTTTGGTGGGCTATGGACCATAAGGTTGCAAAGACTGAGGCACAAAGTGAAGCAACTTAGCACATAAGTATATTTGGTTTGACTTTGTACAAGTGAAATACACATATTCTCCTACAAATTTATTTTTCCCCTTAAAATTTTCTTATATTTTAGGTAATGTTTATAGCTCTTCCTCATTCTTGCTAAGAGCTTCATAGAAGTCTGAAACAGTAATTCCTATAATTTATTAATCATTCCTCTGTTGATAGACATTTCTGTTATTTCCACATTTTTGCTAGTACCGAAAAAATAAAAAATTCTGTCCTGAATACCCTTGTGCAAAGATTTTTATATTGTTATGCTGTTGTTTCTGTAATAGAGGTTCCTATAAGTGAGATGAGTTAGGTCCTAGGAGCATTTAAATTTTTGGTGATGATGATCAAAGCCAGCTGTTATTAGTGTTTATTTTGATGTGCATGATAAGTACAGTTTATTCATCATCCCATTTTAGCCTCTTATCAACTCTATAAGATAAATTCTATTATTAGCCTCATTTTTCGCATGATAAATTGAGACCTAGAATGGCTGACACCCTTGCCCCAAATCCCACAAAGATCATATGGATTGTCCTCCAAAAGGGTATTTCACTCTAGCAGTAAGGGCCCACGCCGTCCCCAACACAGGATATAATTGTCCTTTTAAGAACTAAAAATCTAAAGGTAACCTTTAAAAGCCTTTACCCAGTTCCTCTCCCTGCCTCCTCCCCCTTTGGTCTTTCATGCGCCTGACTCCTGTCGGCCATTTGCTCTGCTGCGGTCTACACAGCCCTCAGGCGCCCGTGCCCTGGTTCACCGCTGCTCAGGCCCCACAGCAAACCTGTGTGAGAGGAACCGATCATCCTCCTTTCATAGGCAGGAAGCTGAGGCGCAGAAAAGTCATGTGACTCCCCTGGGGTCAAGGTCAATGGGAGGAGGAGCCAGGCTTGGACTGGGGACAGCATCTGCACCTCCCACAGACCAGCTGCAGAGCAGCTTGCCATCAGTCACACTGCTCCATCCTCTCACCCGAATGCTTCCAGGCTCTCATTACCTCATTTTAAAAACACACTTTCCATCCTGGAATTTGTCCAGTTGGGAAGTGATGCTTCCTGGTAATCTGGTCCTAAATTGCTTAGCAAAAGCTGCAATGAAAGGCTTGTCCTCGGTGAAGTCACATCAGAAGTCCCATCTTGGAGATGCGAATCAGATGGTGGAAAGGACAGTGTCCCATGTACACAGAGCTGAGGGGGAACTGCCTAGGTCTCCCCAAGATCTGCAGCCACCAAAGACCAGAGACCCCAGTTCCGGAGATGCTACAGTTTAGAGAAAGAGCCAGGTTGGCTGACCCCTTGCATCAGAAATGCACCTCCAACCTACACTGTTGGTGGGAATGTAAAGTGGTACAGCCAATGTGAAAAACAGCATGGAGTTTTCTCAAAAAACTAAAAATAGAGTTATCATATGATCCAGCACTTTCACTCCTAGGCATATATCAGGAGAAAAAAAAAATAACTCTAATTTGACTAGATACATGCTTCCCAATACTCATAGCAGCATTATTTACAGTTGCCAAGATGTGGAAGCAACTAAATGTCCATCAACAGGTGAATGGATAAAGATGTGGTGTACATATACAAGGGAATACTACTCAGAATGAAAAGAAAGAAATTTTGCCATTTGCAACAATGTGGATGGATTTGGAGAGTATTATGCTAAGTGAATAAGACAGACAAAGAAAGACAAATACTGTAAGATCTCACTTATATACGGAATCTAAAAAATACAAATAGTGAACATTAAAAAAATGAAGAAGACTAGAAAGAAAAAGAGAAAGAAAGAAGGAAAGGAAGAATGGCCTCAAAGAATGACATGGGTGATTCCAAGCATGGTGGCTGCCCCAGTGTAGACATGACACTTTACCTGCCCCTCTTGTTCTAGAATGCCCACCAGGAGTTGATCAGACAGAGGATGGCTGAGAGAACTTACTCCTTTAAGATTCTGAAAGTAGTGAAGTGAAAGTGTTAGTCTTCAGTCACGTCCAGCTCTGCGACCCCATGGACTGTAGCCCACCAGGCTCCTCTGTCCAGGGGATTCTCCAGGCAAGAACACTGGAGTGGGTGGTCATGCCGTCGTCCTCCAGGGGGTCTTCCCCACCCAGGGATTTAACCTGGGTCTCCTGCATTGCAGGCAGATTCCTTACCATCTGAGCCACCAAGGAAGCCCCCCTTTATGCCTCTAGTAATAATGAAAACTGATGACATTTCCCCAGGGCTTGACTGAGCTCTTCTCTGGCTCAGACCCCCACTTTCATCAGTCTCTCATGACCCATAGATCTCCCCCCACCTTCACCCCGACCCCCACGGAGGGGGTCTTCGAAATCCCTGATGAATGAGGCTCTTCACTCCAAATCAATGAAATAGACACAGAACAGAATCAGTCAGGGCATCTGTCCCAGGGACTCTGCCCTGGACCGTGACTCAGTTGCTGCGTGCCTCTTTGAGCTCTGGCTTTCCCGTTTGTACAAGGAGGCAGTAATAGGACCTGCCTGCCGGGGTTTGTGCGAGGGGCTTGTGTGGCGATGCTCAGAGAGGAGGAAGCACCGCCTTGGGCACGCATGCCAGCATCTAAGCTGTCCTGTCCCAGTCCGCTGGGGCTGCTCTAACAGAAATACTGCAGACCAACCCGGTGCCTTATAGACAATGGAAATTCAGTTCTCAGAATTCTGGAGGCTGGGGAGTGGGAATCATGGCCCTGGCAGTTCCGTGTCTAGGGGGGACCCGCTTCCTCACTGAGGGCCATCTCCTCACTATAACCTCGCAACCTCCCAGGTTGAAAGGGAGAGCTGGCTCTCTCTCTTCGGTAAGGGACGTTATCCCAATGCTGAGGGTTCTGCTCACATGGCCTAATCACCCCCGCAAAAGCCCCACCCCCGCAAAAGCCCCACAGCATCGCGTTGGGGATTAGTTTCAAATTTGAGCTTCAGTGGTTGGGGACATATATGTTCAGCCTGCAGCAGTTAGCATCTCATCCGGGGGGCCTGGTCCTCAGGGAGTAGGACTTGAGTTCTTATGTTTTTAGTGAGGTGACACCAGGAAACACAAGGGGGGAGCAGCGGGGCGTGACAGGAGCCAGCCAGTGCTGGCTGTGGTTTGAGCGGGCCCCTGTGTAGGCACCTGGGGGCTCAGCCCACTGAGGAAGCTTGGACTCACGTCCCTGCCATCTCCCCGCACAATGTGAGGGAGGTGGGGGCGTTCACCCGGACTCTGAGCCCCAAGATGTAAGCGTTGCCCTGGGAGGTGGTGGCCCGCCCCTCTGAACGTCTGGGCACAGCTGCGTTAAGAGACAAGCCTGGGCAGAGAAGAGGGATGCAGACGCTGGAGGAGGGTGGTGCTTGCCCTCAGGCCTGCCCTGGAGGCTCAGGAGCATGGGAGGGGCCTCATGGACTCTGCTCCAGTTACCACGTCACCGGTAAAAGGAAGTGTGCACAAAGAGGAGTTTTTCTGTTCACTGCCCACTTAAGTGTAACAGAGCGCTTTGCCCACCTCAGCACGCGTGCACACGACAGCTGGATCTAGTTTTATTGTTCTTTGGGCTACTTGATGGCTTCCCAGGTGCGCTCATGGTAAAGAACTCAGCTACCGATGCAGGAGATGCAGGTTCAGTCCCTGAGTCAGGAAGATCCCCGGAGGAGCGCATAGCAACTGACTTCGGTCTTCTAGCCGGGAGAGTTCCAGTGAGAGAGAAGCCTGGAGGGCTATGGGCCACTGGGTCGCGAGGAGTCAGACATGACTGAAGCGACTGAACACACACATGTGACAAATACTTAAACAGCCTCCCCAGTTCGTGCAAAGGTAAGAAGGGAAACGACCAGTCACAGAGGGCTTCTGTGTGCCAGCAGCCGCGCTAAGCGCCCGATCCTCATACATCTCAAGCATGTGGGGGTTCATAGCGCTGTTTTGTAGGGAACAAAACTGAGGCCTAGAGAGGTTATGCATCTTGTCCCGGACGACACAGCTGGTAAGAGATTCAAACACATGATATTTAAAATTCTGGCACCAGTCATCCCAACTGCTGCTGGAATGGAATGAAAAGGGCTCTATTTGAAGGAGTCCAGAGATCTGGTGAGTGGGAAGGACAGAGCAAGGTACTCAGAGTCAGATGCCTAAAGGGCTGAGTTAATGACCTTAAAGACACTTCCCACAGGTCCTCCTCCTGAAGAGTTTCTCTTCTGTTCTCAGGAAAGCCAGGTGATGAATTGAACACTGAGGTGGAGAATGGTCCCGCATCCCGTTGACTGGGCGTCATTGATAACAGCACCCCCTTCTGTTCCCAGTCGTCTTGGTTTGGACAACAAGCTGTCTCCCTCTACAAAACAGTGGCTCAGATGGTAAAGAAGCTGCCTGCAATGTGGGAGACCCAGGTTCCATCCCTAGGTTGGGAAGATGACTTGGAGAAGGGAATGGCTACCTACTGGAGTATCCTTACCAGAAGAATCCCATGGACAGAGGAGCCTGGTGGGCTACAGTCCATAGGGTCACAAAGAGTTGGATGCAACTGAAGTGACTCAGCGCACACACACAAAAAAAATGATATTAAGTTTAAAGAGCTTCCTATGGTTTATTTTACTTAATGTTCCCCACAATCTTGAGAGTTGGACTATAAAGAAATCTGCACTGAAGAATTGATGCTTTTGAACTGTGGTGTTGGAGAAGACTCTTGAGAGTCCCTTGGAGCAAGGAGATCCAACCAATCCTGAAGGAAATCAGTCCTGAGTGTCCATTGGAAGGACTGATGCTGAAGCTGAAACTCCAATACTTTGGCCACATGATGTGAAAAGCTGACTCACTGGAAAAGACCCTGATGCTGGAAAAGATTGAGGTCAGGAGAAGAAGGGGATGACAGAGGATGAGATGGTTGGATGGAATCACCGACTCGATGGACATGAGTTTGGGTGGACTCCAGGAGTTGGTGATGGACAGGGAGGCCTGGCGTGCTGCAGTCCATGGGGTTGCAAAGAGTCAGACACAACTGAGCGACTGAACTGAACAATCTTGAGAGGGAGCTGTTTCTGGCGCCACTTGATGAGTGAATTTGAAGAGAGACCCAGAGAGGCAAGATAATTTGCATGAGGCCACACAGCAAGCCCCCAGTATGGCTGAGAGTGGATCCCAGATGCTCAATCCCAAACCCATGTCCTTTTTGCTCTGCCATCCTGCACTGCTCTTAGATTGGAATCTATCCATCCATTCAGTCTTTCTTTTTCTTATGCGCACACGAAGCCAGTCCTCGTGTTTGACTCTGCTTCCCAGAAGCTTAGAGTCCAGGACACAAAATCCAGGCTTGCACCTCAGCCCAAAGCCCATGTGGTTCTATGAAGGGCACATGGTGTCACTCTGTGAGCCTGCCTGTGGGCTTCAGTCCTGGTTTGCGGGCTAACAAGGTGAGTGACTTCACCTGGGAGACTCTATCTGCAGAATTAGATAATCCAAGCAAGTGCCTGCCTCATACAGCTGTTGGGAGGATGAAAGGAGATAATGGTCAGAGAGAGGGCTTGGCACTGTGCCGGCATACAGGAAGTGCTCAGAAAAAAAAAACAGTGAACCATTCTTTTCTCTATCAGGTAGGAAACACCACCCAGATCTGAATCTGGATGATAGAATCTCTAGGAAGCCAGAAAATTGGGGTTTTGTTTTTGGTTTCAGCGTGCGGCTGGGAACAGTGATTCAAAATTTATCTTTCCCCTGGGAAACATGGACCACTTTCCAAAGAAAACAACAGGGCCTGTGGAGAGGAGAGTTATTTGGCTTCTGAGGGAACGGGACTTGAGAAATGTGGGTCCTTTATTTCTGCATCTGTGCACCATTTATCCTGAGAGTCTCCATTTAATCACACAGGGAAGGCGGAATCCAAGGGGGAGGGGTATTTGCATAATAAAAGAGGTGATTGAATTTAAACGTGTGCAGTCTCTACCTTTCAGAGCCTGCAATCCTTTTGTTCTCTGTTCTAATCATTTCTGGCAGTTTTTTCAAAGGCTAAAGCATGTGGCAGGGTGAGATATCAATTCAGAAGGAAAGAAAATATGGTCATAAAAGGGGTTAATTTGAATCGTGGGTAGAAAGCCTTTTTTTCTTTCTCTCTCTTTTTTTTCCTGTGAGGGCCCTGACCCAGAAGGGGAGCAGAGTGACTACCAGAAGCAGAAGGAAAAGCAACTGATTTCCTGGTTTCTTTTTCCTTTTCTTCTTCCCCACCCTACCCAGCAAGGGTGGGGGTGGAGGAGGGGTATTTCTTCAAAGTGGAATTTTAAAACATTTTGAATACACATCTGTTTTGTTTTAAAAAAAAAAAAAGGTGTAAAACTATTCCATAAACACAAACAAAACGCTGAAAAATATACTTGAGTTTCACTTTTATGACCAGCTGGAGAGACTGAAAGGACAGGCTTAAGGACAGACCATATCCTTAATCTTCTCAAAGTCTTTTGATGTGTTTATATTATTTCCATTTTACAGATGAGGAAATTGAGGTTTAGATGGTTCAAGAAAGTCTCAGTAAAGTGCTTAAGGAAGGGATTGTCTCTCATTCTTTTTCCTGCAATGAAAGTAATATCAGTTCAGTTCAGTCACGTCTGACTCTTTGCGACCCCATGAACCGCAGCACGCCAGGCCTCCCTGTCCATCACCAACCCCCAGAGCCCACCCAAACCCATGTCCATCGAGTCGGTGATGCCATCCAACCATCTCATCCTCTGTCGTCCCCTTCTCCTCCTGCCCTCAATCTTTCCCAGTATCAGGGTCTTTTCCAGTGAGTCAGCTCTTCGCATGAGGTGGCCAAAGTATTGGAGTTTCAGCTTCAGTGTCAGTCCTTCCAATGAACACCTAGGACTGATCTCCTTTAGGATGGACTGGTTGGATTTCCTTGCAGTCCAAAGGATTCTCAAGAGTCTTCTCCAACACCACAGTTCAAAAGCATCAATTCTTCGCTGCTCAGCTTTCGTCACAGTCCAACTCTCACATCCATACATGACTACTGGGAAAACCATAGCCTTGACTAGACAGACCTTTGTTGTTGCAAAGTGATGTCTCTGCTTTTTAATATGCTGTCTGGGTTGGTCATAACTTTCCTTCCAAGGAGTAAGCGTCTTTTAATTTCATGTCTGTAATCACCATCCGCAGTGATTTTGGAGCCTAGAAAAATAAAGTCTGACACTGTTTCCACTGTTGCCCCATCTATTTGAGAAAGACAAAAACAGATACCTCCCTCCCACCCCCCAGAAAGAACACATGAACAAAGAAAGAGAGAGAGGAATGACTTCTTGTCGTGGTCCATGTTCCTGTTGGAAAAGAATTTCCAGGCATGAGGCAGAATGAGAGGAGAATAAGGTTTTTTAGAGTGGGAGACCCTGTTAGTGGGTAGGCTCAAAGGAAACCTGAACACTTTTGCAGGCTAGTAGCCAATTTTTATAGCCTTAAGAGAGAAAGGATTCCTACTGGAATGGGGGCATTAGGTGATTGGTTAGGGTGCTATATAGTTGCTGCTGTTCGGTACTCAGTTCTATCCTACTCTGTGACCCCAGGGACTGCAGCACACCAGGCTTCCCTCTCCTTCTCCATTTCCCTGAGTTTGCTCAAGCTCATGTCTCTTGAGTTGGTGATGCCATCCAACCTCCTCATCCTCTGTTGTCCCCCTCTCCTCCCGCCTTCAATCTTTCCCAGCATCAGGGTCTTTTCCAGTGAGTCAGCTCTTCAAATCAGGTGGCCCAAAGTGTTGGAGTTTCAGCTTCAGCATCAGTCCTTCCACTGAATATTCAGGGTTGATTTCCTTTAGGATTTCCTTTCTTTGCTGTTAAAGGTATTCTCAAGTGTATTCTCCAGCAGCACAATTCAAAAGCATCAGTTCTTTGGTGCTCAGTCTTCTTTATGGTCCAACTCTCTTATCCATACATGACTACTGGAAGAACCATAGCCTTGACTATAAGGACCTTTTCCAGCAAAGTGATTGAAAAGTGGTGCTTTTTAATATGCTATCTAGGCTGGTCACAGCTTTCCTTCCAAAGAGCTAGAGTCTTTTAATTTCATAGCTGCATTCACCATCCACAGTGATTTTGGAGCCCAAGAAAATAAAATCTGTCACTGTTTCCACTTTTTCCCCTTCTGTCTGCCTTGAAGTGTGGGACTGGATATCATGATCTTAGTTTTTTGTATGTTGAATTTCAAGCCAGTTTTTTCACTCTTCCCTTTTGCCCTCATCAAGAGGCTCTTTAGTTCCTCTTCACTTTCTGCCATTGAAGTGGTATATGCATATCTGAGGTTGTTGATATTTCTCCTGGCAATCTTGATTCCAGCTTGTGATTCATCCAGCCCGGCATTTCACATGATGTACTCTGCATATAAGTTAAATAAGCAGGGTGACAATACACAGCCTTGACGTACTCCTTTCCCAATTTGGAACCAGTCTGTTGTTGTTCCATGTCCTGTTCTAACTGTTGCTTCTTGACCTGCATACAGGTTTCTCAGGAGACAAGTAAGGTGGTCTCATCCTCCCATCTCTTTAAGAATTTTCCAGTTTGTTGTGATCCACACAGTCAAAGGCTTCAGTGTAGTAAATGAAGCAGATATTTTTCTGAAATTACCTTGCTTTCGCTATGATCCAATGAATGTTGGCAATTTGATCTCTAATTCCTCTGCTTTTTCTCAATCCAGTTTGTACATCTGGAAGTTCTTGGTTCACATACTATTGAGGCCTAGCATAAAGAATTTTGAGCATTACCTTACTAGCATGTGAAATGAGTGCCACCGTGCAGTAGTTTGAACATTCTTTGGCATTGTCCTTCTTTGGGATTGTAGTGAAAACTGACCTTTTCCAGTCCTGTGGCCACAGATGTACTTTCCAAATTTGCTGACATATTGAGTGCCACACTTTAACAGCATCATCTCTTAGGATTTGAAATAGCTCAGCTGGAATTCCATCACCTCTAGTAGCTTTGTTCATAGGAGTGCTTCCTAAGGCCCACTCCAGCATGTCTGGATCTAGGTGAGTGACCATACCATCTTGGTTATCTGGGTATTAGACCTTTTTTTGTGTAGTTCTTCTGTGTATTCTTGCCAACGGTTCTTCATGCATACTCCTCATAACTGGTTTGCCAAAGGAACCCAGGGCAGCTACCTGTCTGTCTGCCCACTGTTTCTTTGAGAGCAGATTCCTGCTTAAGTAAGTCCTCACTTGACCTCCCTTCCTCATTTCTGAATTCCATCTATTGTAAGAACTTTCACCAGGAACAGTCTGTCTGGAGGACAGAGAACTTGGATGAGCCTACAAGCCTCTGCACTGCATGGGGATGGAGGGGGTCTGGGAGGACCTGGAAACTCGAGGCTCTCCAAAGTGCCAGGAAAGAGACAGAGTCACCGAGGGTGGAAACTGCAGAGAAACAGTGTGCAATGCAGCCAAGGCAGAATGTATGTGAAAGAAACCCAGCACCAGACACGTGTTAAAGGCAGCAAGACAGATTTTTACTCACACCAGAGCAGTAGGGCAGAAACGCGGGTCCAAAGTGAGCTCAACTCTAACTGTGAAAAAGGTGACTGAAGCTTTGAAAGGAAGAACAGAAAGGGGAGTTTAGGAAATGGAAAATCACAGAAGGGAGTTAAATGAAGAATTACTGAAAATAGTTTGACAATGTGGGTTGGAACAAGGTACATTTTGTGGTTTGGCTTATTTTTTTTTTTTAAGTGCCAACTGCAATTGGCACTTGCCATCTACCTCTACAGAATTAAATTAATTATGTGCAGCTGAAGTTGCTGATCTTCAACACCTCCTGAAAGGAGTTTGGGGTGGAGAGCAGAAATGAGGCACCCTGTGCTCTGGGAAAAGTTGGCAGAATGGGTAGATAATTAGATATTTTCAGGAAGAGATTTTATGAGCCAATTCTTGTATCTCCTTGTATCTAGAAAAGCACTAAAGTCCTTCACGGTGACGTCTGCTCCTTGTGACTGACAGCAGCATTCTGCAAAAATCCTGTGCTTGGTTCCATGGTCTTCCCCTTCTCTAGAGTCACGTATACACTGACCTCCCCGCCCACCTCTTTGGAGCAGTTTCTCAGAGCTGTCTGAAATGCTGTCTCCTGGGCTATCGTCCTCATTTTGCACAAAGAATGCTTAACTCAGAACTCTCATGTCGTGCTTTTTTTTTTTCCAGTCGACATGAACACAGACTTA